CCCGGCGGGCGCCATGGCGCTTGCGGGCACCGGGTTGGGGACCACGGGTCTAGACATACCCTGAGACCCAACCCTTTCTGGGGCTCTGATCATCTTCCCAGCAAGTCCCCCGGGGCTTCCTCCCAGGTTACCTGGACTCAAAACAGACTCTTCCTTCCAGCCACCCAGTCTTTTTCTGTACTTTTACCACTGAAGATACTACAGTTATTATAAAAAGAGAAATTTGCTGCAGCAACACAAAAGTTCTTCCCTCATATATGTGTACCTGGCTATCAATAGTTTAAATTACAGCCTTAAAGGGCATGTGCATCCAATGCCATCTTCACTGATGCAGCAGAGATCTCTGGAGCTAAAAACATTAGCTCCTACAGCTGTAAGTAAAGAACCACCCCTTCCTAACTATGGTGTATAACACCTCATATCCTACATACAGCTACATGGGGGGAAGCTTTAATATGTGCACCGCAGTATGTTACATATTAGAGGATAGAACTAGCCCCTATATCTTCCAAAAATATTGCACATCACTTTTACAAATCCCAGTACAGACAAAATAACTCTTTATAGTTTAGTTACTTCATATGCTTATGCATATGCATATGTTTATGCTTATGTTTATGCTTATGTTTATGCATGCAGTTCCATATGTCATGTGGTGATTAAATATCAGCTCTTCTATCTAGTTTAACCAGTTCTGCTCTACCACGGACTTAGTTTACAAATATTTGGGTTACAGTGCAAAGTCACAACCAAATAAAGCAATGGGGAATAAAGAATCTCCATAATTAATAAACTGAAAATGAAAAAAGAGGGCAGAAGAACCCAGAAGTAACATTTACAACCTCCTGTAACTTCCTTAAGTATTCGAATTAAAAAATGAGAACTTGTAAAGGTTTTGTTCCATTTAAGAAGTTTAAAGATTAATAGATTTAAAAAAATTCTACTTCAGAGACTCTAGACATTAAGTGAAATCCCATACTTTTCCAGATTCGCCCAACTCTAGAAAAAAATTTACTTGTCTGTGCAATCAAAGAGCCAGGGCTGCACAGGGTTGAGCAGTGCTTGCCTCAGTGTTCTCTGATGTAATACAATCCAAAGTATGTGCTCAAGCATGTTCTGTTGATGCCCAAAGTAAACTTCAGATCCTTGCTCACTATTTACTCACCCCTCCTCATTGCTAGCTGATTTTGTTACCCCATAATAACATAGTATATGTCCACACTAGCCCCCTAGTTCGAACTAGGGAGGCTAATGTAGGCATTCGAAGTTGCAAATCAAGCCCAGGATTTAAATATCCTGCGCTTGATTTGCATCTTCCCGGCCGGTCGCCATTTTTGAAATTTACAAGTCCGGACTAACTGCCTGCGTCTACACTCGGCAGGGACCCGGTATTTTGAATTAAAGCCCTAAATAGAACTACCGAATAACAGGTAGTTCGATTTAGGGGCTTTAATTCGAAATACCAGGTCCCTGCTGTGTGTAGATGCGCGCAGTTAGTCCGGATTTGTAAATTTCAAAAAATGGTGACCGGCCGGGAAGATGCAAATGAAGTGCGGGATATTTAAATCCCGGGCTTGATTTGCAACTTCGAATGCCTACATTAGCCTCCCTAGTTCGAACTAGGGAGCTAGTGTAGACATACTCATAGAGACAAGGAAGACTAGGGAGAGAAGGGTGACTGGAACTTGTAAGAAGTGGATTACACTACATCCTGGGATGCATGTATATGTGAGTAGTAGCCATTGTTTATAGCAAAATCTCAAGTAGAATCAAAGGCTATGTCTTCACTATGGGACAAAGTCAAATTAAGCAATGAAACTTCAGCTACGTTAATTGCATAGCTGAAGTCAAAGTAGCTTATCTCAGCTTTTGGCGCTGTCCACACAGCAGAAAATTGAAGGGAACACACTCTCCCTTCGACTCCTCATGGCAGCAGGACTACCAGCATTGACTGGAGTGCCCTCTCAGTTCGAATTAGCTGTATTAACTAGATTGCTAATTCAAACCCTGGAAGATCGACAGTGGCAGCTTCGATCTTCCTCTGTAGTGTAAATGTACCCATAGTCTCTACTGAGACCAGGGCTGGACAAGATGTGGCCTGGGGGCCAGATCCGACCTACCTAACACTTTGTTCTGGCCCACCGACTGCATCTGGCTGCTTTCTATTTATATCATGCTTCCTGTTCTGCCGAATTTCCAGGCAGTGGCTCAGGCAGCAGGATCTTATTTAAATGGCTCCTGGCTCCTGGTCACAGCACTACCCCAGCAAGGGCCAGAGCCATGAGTCTTTCAAATAGCTGCAGAAACCTCAGGCGGTTGCCAGGCAACATGGTAGCGGTGGGGCCGAGAGTTGTGAGCCCTTTAAATTGCAGCTATTTCAAGGGCTTGCAGCTGCCAGCCCCACCACTACTGTGTTACCTGGGAGTCACCCCAGGTTGCTGTGGCTATTTAAAGGACTCCCAGTCACAGTTGGAGCTGTGAGCCCTTTAAATAGCTCCAGCAATCCCAGACAGCTGCCAGGCAACACAGTAGCAGTGGGGCCAGGACTCTTGAGCCCTTTGCTCAGTTTTTACTTCAAAGCCTCTTGGCCAAAGACAACTCTGGGGGGAGGCTAGTCCCCAGACCTCACCCCTTCCACTCCAGAGCCTGCCCTTTCCAGGGATGGGGGGGGGAGGGAGGGCAGTGGAGCCAACCCGTGACCAGTACCAAAATTCATCAAGTGGTCCCCCTGACTTAGACCATAGTACTTCAGGTTAGGGCCATAAAATGGATGGGACATGTGAAAGGACACCATACATAGAGATATATGCCCCACATTTCTGACCGCTTTGTTGGTTTTGTGGGATTTATGAACCCATATTAGGGCTATTAATCAATTAATACAATACAGGGCACAATACAGAAAGCCAGCATATACTCATATAATCAATAAACTAGGGCTATGTCTACACTGCACGATTATTTCGGAACAAGCTATTCCAAAAGAAATACTCAGAAATAGCTTATTTTGAAATAGCGTGTCTACACTACAGGGAAGCCTGGAAATTAGCCTGAGGCAGGCTCACCTAATGTGGATGTGCTACCTCAATTTAGAGCCCCAGGAAGCACTGGGGAGTAATTACTTTGAAAGGGCTGGGGGAGAAGCTATTTTGAAATAGCAGCAGTGGAGTGTCCACACTACCGCTATTCTGAAATAGCTATTTCAAAAGAGGTGTTATTCCTCATGGAATGAGATTTACAAATACTAAAATAAACCACCCATTATTTTGAAATTATTTTGAAATAACAGGCTAGCCGTGTAGACGCTTGCATAGTTATTTCAGAATAATGGATGTTATTCCAAAATAACACGGCTGTGTAGATGGACCCTAGATGACAGAGGCAAATCTGAGGCTGCTGATTGGTGCAAAACATACCACAGGCACAACTCTCCCAGAGCCAGCTATCACATGAGTTACAGGCTATAGAGAAGGCTATTCATTGTTCCCATTGGCTTCAATGAGATCAGGATCAGGCCCAGTGATCTCTTTTTCAAAGTGCAGGATCAGGCTCTGATTTATAATGGCAAGTGGTTAAAATATGAGTTTATAGCCATCACATTGAGTGACATTACATATCATTAAGTTCCCAGTCGCATTGTTTGAGACTGTTGCTAAGGTACGGAATTGTTACTCACATTTAATTTCAGTGCCTATTATGAATGTAATCTTCAGTTGGTGAGTGGTAGCTCTGTCCCAGTTAAGGGAACCTAACCGGTTATTTTCTAGACATAAGCTGGATGGAATGTCTAAACACAGCTGCCTTGCAGTCACTGTAAACATTCTACACAAAGGGTAGTTTGCAGTGGAGGCCCCATGGAATGTGAGTTTGATACCAGGATAAACCTGGGCTGAAATGCCATTTCTACAGCAAAGGTACAGTCACCTGTAGATGTAAGCGTGGAAACCCGGGACTCGTGTCATTCAGTGCTGACAACCAGCAGCATTCAGTACCTTGCCATATGGGGGCCCCATGTGCCTGAAATGGGACAATGAGAAAACAGAAATCTGCATCCATTGCCTTCAGAACTAAGATGAATTGTGTGCAGTGTTCTTCCTTCAATTTCCTGCTGTGTAGACAAAAGCTGATTTATTTTGATTTCAGCACACAATTGCCATCGCTGAAGTAATGTATCTTAATTCAACTTTTGCCCTGCAGTGTAGACATACGCGAGGGGCTACATCTACACTGCAGGCTTCTTGCGCAAGAAGCTTTTTGCACAAGAGTTTTCACGTAAAAACTTCTTGCACAAGAGCACATCCACAACTCAAAGCACATCTCAAAAGCAATGTGCTTTTGCACAAGACAGCGTCCACACTGCATGGATACTCTTGCACAAGAAAGCTCTGATGGCCATTCACAGACTGGCCATTAGAGCACCTCTGATTTTTTCCCATAAGGGTTTCTTGCAGAAGAAACCCCTCTGGAGGGTCCACACTTGCCTTTTTGCACAATAGTTGTAGCGCAAAAAGGAGTTATGCCTCCAAAAAGGAGGTTTACCTGTGCCAGAAAAAGCCCTCTCTTCTGCCTTCTTTACTGTTGATTTACTTGCTCAAAAGTGCATTTGAGGTGTGGAAGCTCCACAGGTTTTTGCTCAAAAACCTTGCAGTGTAGTCATAGCCTGAGCCTAGCCATAACTTTAAACGTGTGCGGCTCTTGTCTCCTGTGGTCTTGCTTTAAAGTCAATAGGCCAGGCAATCGTGGCCCGCACATGGATCACACTCACACAGATAGCCCTGTGCGGGCCCGACCTCGCTGTAGGATCTGCCACTCGGATCTGTGACTGGAATTCACGTGCAGGGGAACGCTGTCCAGAGCCCACAAGGTTTTCTGGGGCTAGAGAGCGCAGCTCTGGGATATTCGCTTCGCGAGAATTAAGCTGCTCGCTGCGTTACAATCCCGTCTCGGGCCGGATCCCGGGATGCCGCCGCTAGCTGAGTTTAATAACTAAAGACACGCACCTGCACCCGCAGATCCACTGAGCATCCCGCTCCCGTCGATGCCTGATCGAAACCCACCTGATTCTATGCCGGCTCTCGGGCGGGGGACACTTTCGGAGTAATTACACTCCATTGCCCTGTCTCTGGCCTGCGCTGCTTGGCAGGCCGCGTGGCTTTTGCCCAAAAACTGAGAGTCTGCTCGAAAGTGATCCGGGCTGAAAAGCGGCCGCGGACCTGCTTGTAGCCAGCTGCCCAGGCCGTGAGTTGCAGCCTGGCCTGGGATCGGTTGCAGATCGCAAGGCAGCGAAAGGGCCCGCGAGTCTGGAACCTTTAGGAGCGAGTCTTGTGTGCGGGGCGCTCCAGGAGCCGGCCAGCGAAGTGCGAGCAAGTAGTCAGGGCTCTTTCTGACCCCGGGGGATAACGGGGCAGCTCAGACCCGCCCTTTGTGTGTTTTGCCGAGAGAGGGCGCCCCAGCCCGCTGATCTGTCCTCGGGAACTCTGCAGGGAACACCAAGTGGGAATGCAGCGGCGCTTCGCTCCTTCTCCTTGCCCACCCTGGGGCCCGGATCGAAATTCCCCTTCGCGGCAGCCCAGTGCGGCTGCTGTCCGCTGTAATGCGCCCCGGGTGACCGCCGCACGCTCGGGCTGGCGTCCCGACAGCTTCCTCCCTCTTATCCCCCGGCCCACGGCAAGCCCGTGTCTAGCAAAGACGGGCACCCACAGTCTCCGCTGCTTTCTGCCACCGGGTGGAGGAAGACGGAGCAGGAAAGCAAAGCCGCTACCCAAATGGGTCTGATTCTTTCCTGTCTGGAATCCCCGGGATTGCCACGACCGGGACCCCTTCCTGAGCTGCTTGTGTGTTTAGTTTCTATGCTGGGTGACCTTTTACCACCTGTGGTCATTTGTGGTCCCATAAATCTGCCTCCCCAGGCAGGGTGGACATACATCTTCCCGAGCTGGACACGCTGCGGTTTTCTCCTGGGGGCAATCCATTGTTAGGGCGACTTCTAACCAGTTAGTGCGGACAGCCGTGGAAAATGGTAATTTCTAACGCATGTCCCTCATTCTCCAGCACAGATGGCTGTGTTAGAGCCAGAGCCAACTCAGGGGGAACCTGGGTTGTTTGGTTTTGTTTTGCATAAAATTGCTAGATGGTCCTTTAGGTGAAGCCGTATTCTAAAGGGGGCGAAGGGAAGAAAGACTCTTTTCCCGAAGATACAAAGATCAAACGCGGGAATCTAAAACCTGGGACGTTCCCGCATCCCTTTCGGGCTGGAGAACAAAGATCAAACACTGGAATCTAAAACCTGGGACGTTCCCGCATCCCTTTCGGGCTGGAGCCGATAGGAAGTATGAGCGGTTAATAAAGCAAACGAAAGCTGGCTCGAAGTCAGTGCATTGTCTCTACGGATACGTGGCTGAATTAATTGTAAGAAATTGCACTCGCCAGGTATTTCAGGGGGTCTAAATCTTGAGGCAAGTGAATTAAGAGCTCTCAGATTCGGGCTCCGCTCTGCAGGAGCAATAATACACCTTCTGGATGAAACGGTGTGACTCCGAATAAGCCCGTAGAGGGAATGCTGGTGTAGCCCTTAAATGGACCGGCCTTTCCCTGAACTGACAGGGAGTTTTCCTTGATTGAGGGCGGCACGATGGGTCCTTTAGCAAAACCGCATTCAGCCACCGTGGGTTTCACCCTGCTTCCTCGCCTCTTGCGCCGGAGTTTCCGGGCTGCTGCAGCTGATTTCTGTCTTCCCCGTGGCGGGTGCCCTTTCTCTGGAGCACAGATTCACACGGAAAACCAGAACGTGAGCTGGCTGCGCGGCTTCGTGTACTGCCGGGCTCCAGTGCTACAAAGAGCGCGGTTGTGGTTCCAAAAACACCCTAAGCGGAACCTTGCCCGGAAAACAAGGAAATGAAAACCACTGAATCCCCCTTTCAGCAGGCACCGCTGGAAAGCTTCCTGGGGGCCGCCGCTCCCCTAATTACTTCGACCCAACTCCGCTTGAAGTCGCCGCATCGCTTACTTCGCGAAGTTCTGCCAGGAGCCTTCCGCTGACCAGCGGCTGGGGGCCGGGCTGCCCGGCGCGCACCGACCCGCGGGCGCGGAGTCTTCCAGGAGACAAACGCTTCCCAAGTCCTCTTGTCACCGGCGTCTGCTTTAGTCCTGGCCCGGAGGCAATGGCGATGCCTACTCGAATTAAGCACCGCAATGGCCAGTCGTTTAACTCGAGTAAGTGGGACAGGTTTGTCTGGCTATCGCTGGATGCGCGCCCTTGGTTCGAACACCCCTAGGTACAGGACTGTGCCTGCGCTCCAGGCTATGTACAAACATACAGTGTAGGATCACACAAACCCCCTGTCTTCATGGGTAACATCGCCGGGGCAGGAGCTCCCTTCTGTGGGCATTTTGGTTGTATATCAGAGAGGAGAGGAAGCAGAAATGGGGAGGGGGGGGGGGAAGTTGTTCTGTGGTAACTATCCAACACTGCATTGATCAGTTTTGGGCCGCTTCTTAAGGACACCTCCTCTCTAATGTAATGTCCCCCTTCTGCCCAGGAAAGGCGGCTGCTACTACATAGCATACCGCTCCTGGGATCAAACACACGGCAGTAGCACGTGGGGTTTCCTCTCCTTGGGGACTCATTGGCCTCCCCTGGCTCCCAGTCACTCCAGAGGCAGGCCTCTGGGGTATCTAAGGGATACCGAGTCCCATCCTGCCCCCGCTCAACTCAATGGCGGGTTTTCCTTTTGCCTTAGCAGTACGTCGCGACAGATGCGCTCTGCAGGCTCTCTCGGGCCATGCTGACGTCGAGGTGGGGTGGGACATCATCCGAGGTACTGCTGCGGGGCTTCTCTGCGGCTTAAAAACAAAAGCTTCTCCTCCTCCCCCACCCCCGGGCGCTGACACCTAGCGATGGGCATTTTTTAAAACTGAAAGTCCCCACAAGGGGCCCGATGCTGAGCTAGCAGTGGCGAGAATTCAGCACCATTCCGGACTCCGCGGGGCAACGCCAGTGTGTGTGTGTGTGTCGGGGGGGGGAGGTTCGAACCCTTCGGTAATAGAACAGAAGTGATTGCCCGTCCACACGCCCAAAGGGAGAGCAGTTCGTACACCGGGGCTCTCAGGCTAGTATTACAGGGCCTGGGAGCTCTGAGACAAAGCAACAAGCAGGAAAATGAAGCCTTCGCTCTGTGGGAGAGTATCAGACACCCGGCCTCTCTGGGTTACCACCTGCGACTCCAAACCTGGAGACCAAATCCTACCCGGTCTAGAACTGACCCCTTCGTTTTTCAGTTCCAGTGTCCCCAGAAAACGCCCTTGCAAGCAACCCCGGCAGCAAAGCACGCTAGAGGATGGCTATGCCAGGCAGCGAGGTTCTCCCCGCAAGTCACTGGGCCACCTTTGGCATCCTGTGTATTGTATAGTCCGGCCCACCAACATAATCCTGTCACCTTTTGCATTTAACGCGAACGTGGGTAATCTAGCCAACTAACCTCCCTGCTCCTTGTTTTTTGAACGTTAGCTTTTGCAACCTGAATTTCGCATGGCTGCTTGATTTTGTGTGCATGTACGGCTGGGCTTGCTGGAAATGTACAGGAAAGAAGACAAAAGGAAGCGCAATTTATTAGAGGAGAGCTTGAAAGGCCCTTTCTCTTCAGATATCTTGTTTGCCTACCTTGCAAACTCTGTAGGCTGCGCCAACGACCTTGTTATTCTCTTTCACCAAAACAATTTGCTGATACAGTCAACTTCACTTGGAAATTCCCGTCTCCATCGCCTTATTTACCTTGCACATCTTAAAACTCCAATGATTTTATCAGCACAATTTGCCATCTCTTTGAGCCAAGAGAACCCGTAGCTAATTCATCTGTTTTAATGATTTACAGAAATATGGACTGCACATCTTGAGCGTAAAACTGTAATTTTCTGGTAAATCAAAACATTCTTTCTAGCCAAACAGACACGTCCTTTTAGTGAGGAGTTCAGAGTCTGAATCTTCAACCTTTTAACTGAACCGAGTTCTTAGATATTTGTTTTTAAATGGGAAACTGTCCTTTTCCCACCAGTATCAAATCCAAAAACTTCTTGAAGGGACTTAGGAAAAAAAATCTCGTTTGCAATTGAAAACGCGTGGAAAAAAATCAGCCCCAAAAGTCAAAGGCTTTTAGAAAAGTTGCCAACATGTAAAAATAGGAAGATATTCCTGAAAGTGTTTTGCAAACTCCACTAGAGTGGTCATTAGCAGGTGCCTAACTAAAACGTGATCAGATACTACTGACAGCACATTAATCATTGAATGCTGTTTCTGGACTGTATTGGTTTTTGACAGCACATTAATCATTGAAGGTGATGAATGCTGTTTCTGGACTGTATTGGTTTGATTCTGTTTCTTCTGAATCTTCACACACATAACCTCACAGTTGTATTGCTTCTGTATCTACACCATAAAAGGAGTAGAATTTATACTAGATTATATTTTTGACTTCAGAATTTACTTGCGAAGTCTGCCACAGGATTTTAAGCAGACAAAAATATGTCCTATTAAAATCCTGTGCGAATTGACCCGGTGTATTATCCAGTGTGCATACTTTTTGGAAAATACAGTTTGTTAGATACCACACGGAAATAGCAGGATATTGTTTCGATTTTTTTAAAATAACGCCCATATATTACCTTTGATCTGTGCACACCATGTTTGCACTTGATGACAGAAGATGCTACGCGTGTCGTGGTATGATACCCAGAGAATTGTGAGCAATTTCGAGAGGATGGTGGGATTTTTGACACGATAGAAAATCAACTAATCACTATGTAGTTTATTGAAATGAATTGTACTTTAAAGCAATTGCTTGCAAGGCTGGGAAAGCTGATATGGCAGGTAGCACATGTATGGACTCGCGACACAGAGCGTTGGGTCATATCATAGCGTTACAGTCACTTCCTAGCAGCAATGAACTGTTCCTTACAGCTTGCGAGTTACTCGCCTGGCTTAGGGGTTGTGTCTTGGATCTGAAACGTTCTGAGGTTCAATGACCTTTTTGGCTACTCCTTAACCCAGAAACCAGGTTGCCTGATTTGGGGTATTATTGGCATCGAACTGCGCAGGGACCCCCCACTCCCAAAAGCCCTCCTTCCCAGCAGCCTTTGAGTAAAGTGTAGCCTTAGCTCCTGAGCCCCACAGGAGAAGTTAAAAATTGTGTCTGGAGGACTTTTATTGAACCTTCTACAACCCCTTTCGAGGAAGCTGCTGATCTAGTCCTCCACCCCTCCTCTCTGCAGGGTCAGCGAGCCCTTATCCCACTTGTGACCACGGGTGACAAAAAATGCCCACCTGCTCCCTCATCAACTCCCCCACCATCTACAGTCAATACTACAAGAATGTTTCTCCGGGGCGCAGTTCAGGATATATTCCTCCATCCCCAGTGATGGGCCCCTAGCTGCCCTATGTCTCGGTTTGGGGCTGAGATGTTCTCCATTACACCAGGCTTTGGGGTCAGGGCATTTTTCAGCCTCTAGAGTGAAGGCAAGTTCCATGGGCAGCAGCCAGAAGGCGGCAGCACTGCAATGTCAGAGCTACTGTTAGGACCATGGTGAAGAGGGGCCTGCTCTCAATGGAAGGTTCATTGGAGGGGCCTGATCATTAGTAGTGTGGTGGCACTGAAAATCCTGCAACAGTAGGTGTCAGGCGTTAGTCTCCAAGGAGGCCTTCTCCCTTGGACTGGGGTTGGGAAGTAGCCCTGTCACTGGGCGTGTTATTCGTGCTACACCCGCCAGGGATAGAATCATAGAATACTAGGACTGGAAGGGACCTCCAGAGGTCATCGAGTCCAGTCCTCATACTCCACTGGGATGAGCTGTACCCAGTGCCAGGAGCCTTAAACTGCCTTGCAGACTAAACAGAGCCCTTCCTCTCCCAGCTGAGTTGTGCTGGGAAGCAGAGATAGGAGGCAGGAGGAGGAGAAGCCCCAAGAGCAGCCTGCGGGCCCTGGCTTGGGGAGTGAAAGGGGAAATGGGCGTGTACCTGTCCAAGGCCCTAGTCAAATGACAAGGCTCTTTCCTTTCTGTTAGTGCAGGGAGAATCTATCAGCTGCTGATGTAGGAGGCCTTGCAGATTGGTTGGCCCAGCATACCTACAGCTCACAAGCAGCCTATATCTGGCTTAAATGGGCTGTAACACGTGACCCACCAAAGGAAGAGCTGCGGTGATCTCGGGTTAAGGCCCCGATCCTGCCTCCCTCGAACCCCGCGTGCTTCCTTTGGCGGCTGGTGGTAGTTTTGAGTGGGCCAGGATGGCTCACCTGGCTAGGCACAGAAGGGCCCGCAAACCCTGGTTCTGCTGGAAGGCAGGGGAGGGAAGATGGCGAAGCGGTGGGACAACGGTACTGCGCATCCACTGTCTACAGCTCCGGATCGGCGCTGCCTGTGGAAACCTCCAGCAATGTGCGTGGAGATGGATGGACCGAGGCAGGGGCGGATGAGAGTTTTGGGGGGCCCAGGGCGCGGGCCTATTGAAGCACGGGGCCCGGGGCCGCTGCCCCGCTCGCCCGGCCCTATATCCGCCGCTGGACCGAGGGACACCAATCCCACAACGGAGCGACCCCTTGTGTGGGGACCATTGACTTGGGGCCAGAATGGAGCGCGCCCCTTACTTTCAGCTTGAGGCTGGAGCGGAAGATTTGTGTTGACATTGCACCGAGCCGAGGAACCTTCTGGCCACCTGGAACTAGAGCTACGGGCTGTTTTAGCCTGACCCAGCTCCTCAGTTAGAAAACATCGCACCCGGCCTCACTGCTACTGTATCTCTCGGGGATCTGAGATGTTTGACGTCAAGATCTCTGGTGCTGTTTTCTACACGCAGCCCTGGCCTGGAGGAGGAGGAGGGAGGGGAGAGAGAGACTGTCTCAGAGGCCGAACGGACCAAAGGACAAGGACAAAATCCCGCTTAGCGCGGCCTTTAGATCCAATCAGTTGAATCAAAGCGGCCGGACCACAACGCACCTTTCCATTGGTGTTAGTGGGGCCAAACGTCACACGTGATCACACCGACTTCCCAACGCTATTCACACCCCGCTGCGTGTCCCTGGCCCTAGACAGGCAAAGTGGCAGGCAAAGCGCAGGGATCATTCCGGCTCTGGTTCTTTCATTCCATCAACCCCTCCCGCGCTTGTGTACAAAGCACGTATAAAAGAGCAGCCACTAATAAAAGTCGCTGCAAATCCCAACAGCAAATAATCTCCACAGTGAACCAAAGGCGGACTGGTCCTCGCAAGGACGGAGTATTGTGCTGCCCCCCGGAGTTATATACAGCTGATGAAAAATCACTTGCTGTCATTAAAAACACGCCCGCTGTAATACACGTTTTATCGGTAAGTTTGTTGATGCGGCTAGACGGAGAGAGCTCGAAAGCCTTAGTGGACACGACGTTTCCTTCGTTTGTTAACGAAGTAGATTGGCTCTCACACACAATACAGTTGGTTTAACTTGCTGCCCGTCTAAACTATTTTTTCTCTTCATAACGGTAACGGGACAAATGTAAGCTTAATGCAAAGATACACATTGCCCCATCACTCTAAAAGGGCTAGTTTCTTTTATCCTTCCCGAAACAGCCAATCTTCTGCAATGGAACGAACGCTGAATTAAATATTAATTATGCTGAGGAATTATATTATTATTTATTATAAAGATTCGTGCATCTGATACAGTTTAACTGGAGAAGAACGGTATTCTGTAAATGAACGGTGCCCGGTGTGAGAATCCGCACTAAAATCTGTGTTCTCTCGTTTTGGGGCCAAATGTGTTGTTTTACACGAGGTAATTGTTTAATCGATTTCCTCTCAACTCCCTCCTCCCCATTATTTGTAATTACAAGCCATATACGCAATTAGACCCCTCATGTCTAGGCCTGAAGGCATATCTAAGCAAATTCGACATCGCTTTTTCTCAAAAATCAACCAAGCAGGTTGCAAGTTTAAATTAAACAGAATATCTGTCTGCAATGCCCTAAATAAGCGCTTCTTTCCGTCTTCCTCGCCCAAATGAAATCGGAGTACTAATATACTTTGCACTATAACTTTGGAAAACACTGTGAACCTAACTTCGGAATTGTTCAAAATACGGATCCAGGTACTTGCACTGAAAGCCATATCCAGTGATGCCTTTCCTCTTTTATCCGACAAATGAGTAAATATAGGATTAAAAAAGCAAAGGCACCCATGGAGTTCAGGTGAGTGCATTGGTGTTATGGAGCCCTCTTCCTACCACGTAAACCATGAAAGGCAAGTATGATCCCGCATAGACAGAGACAGAGGATCTTTATTTTTTTCTCAAAAGGACTTTTTTTTCTCAGAAAGAAAAAAGAATCAACACATCCCTCGAATCCGGAAAAATTGTATTCCCCCTAGTTTAAAACGCTACATTGTAGTAGTCCTATACACTGTAACATGGTTAAAAGTTCGGGACTGCCAAATTTTGCTTTTAAAATTTGCTTGCAATTCACCTTTACGTCATATGTCGTTAACATGATTTCATACAGAATAATTTTACAGTCACTACCCTGGACATAGAATAGGGGGAAGACAAAAGTAGGACAGCTTTTTGCCTTTCCTTCTACTGCAAATCTCTTATCTATTGAAGTACTCACGCCTTCTCGGACTCCTGCTTTTCTCTACAATGCCCTTCTGTACTGTATATGCTGCAGCATTATTCAGATCCACGTGTCCCCTAGTTCCCCTGTGTGTTTACATACCTCGTGCTAGCTCACTTCACACTACCCGATGTAGAGCAAAACCAGAAATGCTGAATTAAAAGATTGTCTATGATACTAATAATTGTGTTTTGAAAACGCCTCTGATCCAGAGGGACTGTACAATAAAAATCTAAATGCAATAATATATCTATAAAAACTATTACTATAAAAGATAAAGAGTTACAGGGGCTATAAAGAAAAGAAAAGAAAAGAAAAGAAAAGAAAAGAAAAGAAAAGAAAAGAAAAGAAAATATTGACCAACCGCGGTCACAATAAACAAACATCTCATCGGAAAATAGTTTTAAGGTGCAAAGTTCAATAGTTGGAAAGGATGAACTGAGATAAAAAAAGTCCAGAGAGAGAAATTCTACAACATGGAAACTCATTGGGGAAAACACTGTCACTTGCTCCTGTAAAATCCCTAATTTTAGTGGTCTCAGCATACAGAGATTTTGTATATCTGGCTAAAATTCAGCTAATTCTTAGCAAATATATTGGGGTCAATGGGATCACATGGGTAAGCTAGGGCATAATTGTGTACAGTCAAGGCCTTGAAGACTTGAAAAGAACACTAGGCTTTTTCTGGATTTTTTCTGGATTCTATATATCTATAAAATAGAGAAGCCGTAAAGACCCAAAACTTCTCGCCTTCAAGTTCCCCTTTAAAGAAAAATACAGAAAAAGAGACATAGACAAATGTACACGTCTGCATCAAGGCCATTACCCGATTTTGTTAGTCTTTGTCACAGGTGTTTAAAAGCCTGTTCTACTCCTTTAGGATTTAGAAGAGTCAGAGGTGATTGTGTATTCTTATTACTCCCCTCCCCAAACCGAGTCGCCGCATAGTTGTGCCTTCCCTTTTTGGACTACCTCGTGCACGGGACACAAATGAGGTATGGCAGACAGGCAAAGTAATTTCTTTTTGCCTTTGCCTTTAGTCAAAGGGGCAAGCGTCCCACTTGTCATGTGAGGTAGAATCGCAGAAGAAATGCTACAGAGATCAATAGCAGGCACTGCAGCAGCTGTGTTCTGAATCAGCATTGTCTGTGTGTTTGGGTGTAGAACTGAAAGATAGTCGTGTATAGGATCTTGCGCTCGTTTGAAATGTTTCCTTTTTATTTGAAAAGAAGATTGAGGAAATATGTATTCCTGCAGATGGCGCTCTTACTAGGTGTTCTGGAAGAAAATGTAGAGAGGGGAGAAAATTACCTAGACATTCCCGACTGATTTACTGTAATCTAGTACAGAACGATAGAAGGGTTTTTTGTTAATTTAATCTAAATTAATCTAAAGTGACATATGCAAAACTGGAGTCTTTATTAGAGAAGAATATGCTTTTAATATGTCTTTTCGCAGCCTTAAAGCCGTTCGAATCGCCTATTTCCCTTTGGGGTCTTTAACAAAGACAAATTAACTCAGCCCTGAGCATTGAAGTCAAATGCGTTTCGCAAGGAAAGCCCTAATGAGGCACTGTCTGGTTTCCACGGGCCTTGCTAAGAACAAGTGGCGGCAAAGGGAATAAAAGGGCCAAAGAAAGTAACACATAATAAAGACAAAGCAGCACATCCAAATAGCCTGCGACGCCTCAGCTAGTCAGATCACCGCCGTGAGCTGGGTCAGATCCCGGATCACAGCAAGTAACCCATTAGCTCAGCCAGTAGCCTCGCCTTAAGGACCGACAGCATGATCCAAAGCGCACAGAAATCAATGGAAAAACGACCACTGACTCCCACGGCCTTGTCTGAGATGTAGGTTACCCGCACACTTTGATTAACTACATCAAGACATTTGACAATAGACATTTGACCCCCGGTTGGGTCGCTATTGAAATCGCAGGGAGATTGTCAGTGGGTCCAGTGGAGGTAAGATCAGGGGCTCCCCCCGCTTTGTTTTCCCATCTCTGTGCTCCTGGGACCCCAATCACCTTCTTCTAACGCTACCTGCTTGCGTGCAGCCGTTCACCACAAGGAGCCTTCACTTCCTTCCCCGTGTGTATAGTAGCTACAAACGCTGTCCCCGGTGAGTGATCGCACCAGAACACGGCGGGAATGAACGAGCCTCTGTCGAATCCATATGGACTGGCCATCCCGAAGGGTTTTAAAGCCTGACAGCGCCGATTCTATTCAGAGCGAAAGGACCCGGATTTCGGGCTGAGTGAGGAGCCAGGCGCTGTTCCTAAGCAAACTGTGACACGGGAATGTCGGCCTTTGCACTGGGATGGGACGGAATTCACGTTCGGCAGCAAATCCTGCAGCCCTTTCCGCAGGCAAGCGTCCCACTCAAGTCACTGGGAGCTTTGCCTGAGCAAAAACCGTGCGATTTGGCCCCGACAGGTGACCTTCGGGAAAGCGCAGGGTTGCCTACCAACCCTAAGAAAAGCATGTAAAACAAATGTACTCTTAAAAAGGGCAACAAACACTCGGTTTTCTGTTTATAGAACAACCTCTCGAGAGTTTGCAAAGTGCGCTTCTTAGCCAAAGATCATTACACCCAGAAACTCTTCCACAAAAGGGGGAGAGACTCTTAATTTATTGGCAGTTTCTTTGCTCTCCATTGTTATCTTTAGGAGCTCCAACTCGATTTTGAACATGCTCCTCGTGCAAACCGCGTGGTAGCAGGAGGGTAGAAAGGGCAAAGGTTTTGCTCAGATCTGATCTGGTTTGTGCCTCTGGAGATTTCACTCAACAAAAGCTAACCGTGTTTCGCACTAGCCCCGAAAACAAAGCGGAGAGAGGAAGTCCTTTTTCTTCAAAAAGGATGCTTACGGGACCTGTTCAACCAAAGCCCTTTAATGGTTACTGCCCAGTGTTTGGAAATATTTGCTTACACATTTAAATTGTGTTCAGTGAGAGTATGATTCACACACACTACTTTTCTCTATGCACGTGGATAGATGGAGTGCCCATGGATTCGTTTTCAAACAAAGAAACCACGCGTGTACAT